ACGCGCATTGTGGTTGCTGAGCGTCAGTCATCCCTCGCTGATCTTCAATCTCGCCTTTCCCATACTCTCCTCAATGGGCGCGGATTTTCCCTAAAGTATCAGCTCCCTAATGAAGAACTTGATTCCCTTGTATCTGTCACAACTGATGAAGACTTGGATAACATGATTGAAGAATATGATCGTGCAATGTCAGCTTCCCCTTTGAAACCATCTCGTCTTCGTTTGTTCCTTTTTCTTGCCAAACCTGAAACTGCAGCCTCTATGGGTTGCCTCCTTGCTGATTCTAAATCTGAAACGTGGTTTGTTGATGCTCTTAACAATGCTAGCTTGCTTTCTAGAGGACTTTCGGATTCAGCTGCAGAGGGTAATTTTCTGGAGCTTGAAAGGATTCCCAAAAGTGATTCTGGTGTAAACCTGGATCAGGCTCAGAATGAGTCCTTGGCTGCAAATAATCGGCAAATGGCAAAGAATGTAATCCAAGAAGTGCAATCCACTATGCCTGATTCACCAATGGTTGAAACAACCTCATCATTTGAATCAAGTGTTTCATCCCCATCTATGCCAAATTTGCCTCAAATTAAGGTTAGACCTGAAGATGGTCAAATGAATGCAAGATTCCATGATCAGATGCTCGGGTTAGATGAGCAGTTTTCACACATGAATGTAGCTTCAAATGCACAAAATCTGGATGATGGTTACCTTCATTTGGCTGCACAAGCTGCAACGCCACCTCTTCCTACTGTAATTGGTGGTGCAGCCGTTATGTCATCAGCTACCTTGGTGAACGCTGCACCAGCTACAGGGGAACATCATGGCCGGGTTATCTCAGATGATGAGAAATCAGATCATGGTGCACCCTCTGGACGCCGAAAGCCTCCATTGCCTTTACAGCCTATTCAGCGGAAAGTTGGAGATGGTTATAGCTTGCCATCACCTGATTCAAAGCATGCTGGAGGTTACAACTTGCAATCACCTGATTCTGTAGCAAGGTATAATTCACTTCTGTGTTCGTCTAACGGCATATCACTATGTCCAAGATCAATCAAAAATAGCATGACATCTAAGAAACACAAACCTCACCTCAGTAATTATCATACAACTCTTCAAAATTTTGTACTCAAGATTCCATTGTAGGACCTATGCTCTTATTTAAGAGTTTTGGCATCTAAAATAATAGCTTTAGATATATTATTTAGATCTAAACAACAAAAAGAACTCGTAACCACAAAGAGATAACAGGACTTGAAGGTAATTATTGCTTTTCAGTCTTCACTTTTAGCATGTTTTATCATACTTGAGATTAAAATCATCGAAAACTTTTTACTGTCAACAACTAAAATATTTTGGATGTTTTCCAGTGATAGCAGCATCGCATCAGGTACATCCTTCTCGAAACACACGGTTTACCAAGATGCACCTCCAGCAACAGGTCGCGAGACCAGAATGCATCCAGCTGTTATGGACTATAACTCTCAAATTCAGATGCAGCAAGTTCAAGATTCTGTAGTTATGCAAGTTCCACAGCAAAATCAGCAGCAGCAACAGCAGTTCGTTCCTGCCAATGCACATTACATCCAACATACTGCAACAGGTCCAGTGGCAGTCCCGTCTTATTATCAAATGTATGCACCCCCAACCCAGCAACCACTTCATCAACAAATGGATCAGCAGTATCAAATGTATTATGTGCCAGTACCTCAGACTCAACAGTATAATTTGACAGTGCAATCTAATATAGCTGATTCTAGTGCTGTAGCTTCGAACCAGCAGCTAACACCACCAAATCCAACAACGGTTTCATCCTCAGCAGCGTTTAAAGAAGCTCTCCCACCTATTTATCCAGCAAGGACAATCCAGTCCTCTAAGACTGAAATGCCTGCCAATGTATACATAACAGCTACCCCAGCAAATCAAACAGTAGTTCAAGTTCCTTCAAGTCAATATCATCAACAGTATTACGGCCTATCCCAGGTTCCTCCTCCATCACAGCAAATGGCTACTGTTCCTAATAGCGCTGCTAATTATGGCTATGAATATTCTCATCCTGTGCATGACCAGGTGTTCTATGCCCAACAAACAGCTCCAACACTTCCTTCTCAGTACCAAACTATGACCCCTAACACTGCAGTTTTACTATCACAGGCTACAGCACAGCTAGCTGCGGAGAATACCACAACTCAGAACAGGACTTCATAGCCTCTATAAATAAAACCAAGCCGTTCAAAGATTTGATATCAAGTGTAATTTTTATTTTTTTACAGTATGAAGTATATTATGGCAGAGAATAAGGGTATCATGGTATTCTTCATCCTACAACATGCTGCTGCTATGATAGGGCTAAGAACATACTTGCATGTGGTGTCATAAGGTGAAATGAAGAACAATGTTGTAATTGCTTTCCATGTAGTTATTGCTCCATATATTGTCTTAATATAATTGGTATGGATAATAAAAAACCTATAGACTAATTCTTTGGTCAACAACATTCATTTCATTTATGCTTCTCTGGATTATGTTAAAAAGGAGAAGAATTGGTTTCCTCAGGTAACACGTTCTTGATATCTGCATCATGTTGAGCTCAATAATATGTTGAAGCATACTGAAGTTGTTTGATAGTGCGTTATTCAGAAATGTGTCATTTACCACGAAGCTCAGTCCAATGGGACGACACAACAAACTCTAGTTCAATCAAGTTTGAATTCAACACTTCCTGAACTTATAGAGACCAAAAGAATTGCTATAGGCACTTCAATTCAAAATTCAAGTGAAGTGTTACTAACAAGCGTAAGAAAAAAGGAATTGGATGATTTCTATAGCTAGCAACACAAATCATAAATCCTTAACATGCAAAAGACCAGAGAAATAGTTAATACAAAAACAAGCTGAATTGCCTATTGCCTTCCATTAAAACTAATCCTTCTTTCATGATTCAGTTCTAGCTACACGAATCAGATGAGCCAAACAAAAATTTTAAGCAGATCATCATCTTTTTCCTTTTACATTTAGCTATGTTTATGTTTCAGCTCATCAGATAAATAATCATGATTAGCTCAATTGGCTAGCAGATCTAACATACTGCAGCACCAACACTACCAGGTAAGTCAACCGAATCATGTTCTCTGAATGTGGAGTTCCCATACGATGTTCAATCAATAAAATAATTTTGACTTCGAATTGGCTATCAGATTGAGAGTTGTAAAATAGGTGTGCCACTTACAAATGCAGCTATCTGGCTTATTATATCTCATACAAGTGACCAGGGGCGAATTTATGTATAAAAATTGGGTCACCTAAACTCGATATATTACTTCTATAATTATTAAAGAATATATTAAATTAAAACTTGTGAAACCCATTTTCAAGATGGTTCACTGGTATGACTGCGAGATTTCAACACGAACATCGCAGGTTCGATTCCAGCCAGCCCCAATTCTCTTCAATTTATTTTTATTAACTAAAAACACATTTTTCATTAAAAAAAAAAACTAAATTCTGAAAGCTCTTAAGTCAGTCTTCAAAAGTTTCCTTCCCACCCACTTTCCAAGTTTCAACAATATTTTTTTTCTCTCTTCAAATTTATTTTTTATTTTCGGGAAGTGCTAAATGGCCAGAAAATTTGGCTAGAATTTGGCAAGAAAATTAAAAAAAACTATAATATTTTTTAAATTTTAAAATAAACTGATTTTTTTTCAATTTTTTAGTTAAAATGTATTAAAGTTAAAAGGATAAAAATATTTTAAAAATTAAAATAACATAGATAAAATATTCTGGCCAAAAAGATTTTTCCTTTATTTTCCACACAAAGAAGAAGCTTCAAGTCAAGAATCTAGAGAAATTATCATTGTCAAAGTTTAAGGTAATTTTAATTTACGATTTCTCTTTTTAATAAACAAACTAACAAAATAAAAAATATATATCACTTTAATTTTAGGGTTTACATATAAAAAAATCTTGTCATTACTTATAATAGGAAATCATCAATAGCTAAAGAATCGAGTGCAATTGTAAACTGATGATATTTTTTGTGATAATGTAATTTTTATGTATTGCTCGCTTAGTTATTATTATTATAATTTTTTTGATTTTATCTTTAGAATAATGGTGCATCCATTTTCTTAAAATCTTGAATTCACCTCTATATACAACTACAGACTATAGTTGCTATTCCATGTAACATGGGCTGCCTGACACCCCTTCCTTGAAAAAGGGAAAACCCTCTGACTTTTGTCACTTAAATAAGAGCAGAATTGTCAGAAATGAAACTCATATGAATAATAATCAAATGGAATTTTACTAATTGCTCAATGTTTACATGTTTGCAAGAACATAGTTTTCTCCTTAAAACTCACATGCCGTCAAAACAAAGAGCATGTGCAAATTCATTCACCAGTTATCAAGAAATATAAAATAAAATGATTTCCAACAGATGAGTGTCTTTAGTATCATAAACAGATGGCGACGAAATTCTCTATCAGTCAAGACATGTGCAAAGTTAAGTATGGCTGTAAGAAAATTTGCTGTATGTAAAAACTCAAGTGGAATGACCATAAAAACCATTAGTTAATAAGGCAGCTGCACTGTCACAATGTCATTGTTAAAGAAATTTCTAGGTGGTCATTGGCAAATACCCACGTAGTTCAGTTATTTCCACAAATTTACACAATTTTTTTGAATCAAGCTCTAATTTTTTTGGTCATCCTATAAAATTCATGTACCACTGGAAGATATCACCATTCACCACATAAGTAAGTTAAAATGGAGAGTTATACTCACCTGTGCTCCTCATTCATATTGTCTGCCTTCCAGATTTCGAATCCTCGATTACTAAGACAGATCCATGAACGAACAACGGAGATTATTCACCTCTTAAATCAAATGACAAAGAAGATAAATAAACTTAAAGAACACACTGATTAAGATAGATAATTTGAAAGAGACCTACATGGGACCTATAGCACAGTAGGTTGGGAGTTGTGAAAAATTAATTATTGGCATAAAACAAGAACTCAAGATTATATTCATCTACCAACCTAATTTAAAACATTACTGTAGATTCAGAGTCTAGTAAAGCTCCAATCTTTGAGCAGACAAATGTGTCCCCAGAATCTTGATTCTGTTTTCTTCATATTTATTTGTTAATCATGTTAACAGCCATTAAATCACCCTCTTCCCCGAGCTGCCGGTACTTTAAAACCCAATTCTCCGTTCCCAAATCCTTAACTTTGGCCCTCTCCATTCAACTTCAATCTAGGTAAGGCTCTATTTCTCTTATGTATAAACTACAACTTTTGTTTTGTATCTAATATGTATAAATTCTTTCAGGAATCTCAAGATCAGTAACTGTCTCTCTCTCAACAAACCCAACAATCAAAGCACCAATGCATCCGGAGAAGCAGCTGCTGGAACTGACACCCTTCGAATCATATTGGCCGCCGGGGGTACCGGTGGCCATATTTACCCGGCGATTGCCATTGCTGATGACCTCAAAGTCCTTGACCCAAATGCCCAAATTCTCTTTGTTGGACTTCAAACTGGAATGGAAAGCACTGCAGTGCCAACAGCAGGATACTCCTTTGAACCGATTCATGCTGCACCATTAGGCCGGCCCCTTTTCTCTCTCTACAACTTATTCGTCCTCCCTTTTGTTCTCGTCAAATCCCTAATTAAAAGTTCCCAAATACTTAAAGAATTCAAACCCCATATAGTAATTGGAACTGGGGGGTTTGTTTCATTTCCAATTTGCTTAGCTGCAAGTCTCAGAGGCATTAAACTTGCAATTCAAGAACAGAATTCAGTACCCGGAATCGCTAATCGGGTGCTTTCTTTATTTGCCTATAATGTGTTTGTTGCATTTAATTCTAGTGTTGATTGTTTTTGGCAAAAGAATAAATGCGTGGTGTGCGGAAATCCAGTGAGATTGTCTTTGAGGCAATATGCGTCTAAGGCCGTGGGAAGGCGTCATTTCTTTTCAAATGCAGTTGTAGGGAAGGGGGATGGTAAGGTGGTATTGATTCTTGGAGGCTCATTGGGTGCTAATGCACTTAATGTTGCTATTTTGCATTTGTATTCTGAGATGTTAAAAGAACGGAAAGACTTGTTTTTGATATGGCAAACCGGGGTCTTAGCATATGATGAGATGGAGAGCCTCGTGAAATTCCATCCCCGATTATACATTACCCCGTGAGTGTTGTTTCGTTTTAACAGTTCGATGTCTTTTGTCATTAGAGCTGCAGATGTTTTATATCCTGATTTAGACTAGACAATTGTGTATTACTTTATGGCAAAGTTTGCATTTCAGGCTTCTAAGTTTTCGTTAAGAAAGAGATATCCTTTTCTCCGTTTTAATCTGATTTGATCCTAACTTGGTGAAGGTTCTTGCACTCCATGGATTTAGCGTATGCAGCTGCAGACCTTGTTGTATCTAGAGCTGGAGCAATGATCTGTACTGAGATCTTAACTGCTGGGAAACCTAGTATTCTGGTAAGTAAACACATTCTATAGGCCATAGGGTACTAAGTGTTGCCAAAGAAAATATTGAAGGATCGGAATGAACTAAATGAAAACTTACGAATGTACAAACTATTAAAGAAAGTGATAATGGAATGTAGGAAAAATGAAGATGATGATCGTTGTCTACGATGTACAACTTCAATTCTATTTATAGACATTTAATTTGACTAGCTTTGGGCCTGTCCAAAACTTATTTTGGCCTTGTTCTGATAACTTTTGTCTAACATTTTTGCATGTTTCTGCTCATCATGGCCTAGTATATGGAAGTAACTGTTAACTTGATCAGCTGATATTCCTTTCCTTAGGATTTGCATCAGCTAACCGAATCGATTCATGTTTTAGCTGATCATAGTGGAAGTGTAGCTTCTTCTTTCTACTGGTTATTGAAAAGAACATATATGTAGACACACACACCTATTTTTCCTCCTTGTTTTTATAACTCTGTTACTTCAGATTCCTTGAAATATTAGTATACTAATCTTGGCAAAACACTTCTTTATAACTTTTCCTTGAAATTCTTGCAGATACCTTCGCCGAATGTGGCTGAAGGACATCAATTTCACAATGCTTGTCTAATGGCTGATTTGGTTGGTTCAAGGGTTATAACTGAAGATGAACTTGACTCTCTTACTCTTAAAAGTTCTATTGAAGAAATTTTAGGTATGGTATTCTGTCTTGTATGTGAGGAATTATTCTGATTATATTTGCTGTTGGTCAAAAAAAATCTAGTCATCATTTTGCTTTCATGGTTTTGTTACCTTGCGTTTTGTCTTGATGTAAATATCAATGATTTTGATTCGGAACGTGAAACTCTGTATGTCCATGATGTCACTTATAATATGTAAAACTAGCGAGGCTGGAGACTGGAGTTAGAGCATGGTATCATGGCTATAAATGTACCTGGTGTTAGTAATTGGTTCGACTGCAGCTAAGTTCATATTCATTGAAGTTAATAGAGATATGGCAATTTTAGTCTTGTAACCTGAAATATCTCTAAAGCTATCCTCACATATTAGAAATCTGGTGAAAGAGAATGCAGTTACATTTACCAGACTGCAATAAGTATGACGTTCTCCTGATTTCCTCTCATATCAGTAATCACAGAATCTTTGACACACCTGAGACATAAAGAGAGACAGAGAGGGAGGGGGAGGTTACCATTATTGGTTGACATATATGTAGATTTTTAAGTCTTTATGCATGCCTATCTTTAGTATCTCCATATAAACAAGAATTCACAGAAAGGTGAAATAAACAATTGCCAGTCTCACTAGTGTCACTATAAACGACTAAGAGATCATTGATACACATTGCTTAGTTCCTTTAAGTTGCTGAAGATAAGGGATACGCGTGCTTCTCACAAATTATATTGTGCTCATCATCTCCTTATGGAATTCACATATCCATGGCATACCTACATCCTACTAGATTGGATAACAATGTCAGTAGTACATAGCTTTTTCTGTAAATGGCCAACATATGTTTAGATTGCATAAATAGACATATAACAGCCCCTTGCATAGAATGGCATATAGGAGTTGTTATACCAAACACCAAAATTTCAAAAAAGAACCAGGAGTCTTGTTGTAGAGTAGATGTGTTCTACTCGTTCTAGTTGTATTTTCTTCAAATGGATAACTCTTTTACCATGGTCTAGTTTAATGGCTTCCTACTTCTTAAATTTTTTTGTGTATGGAGTGGAGTTGCCAATCAATTTTGCACTTTAGAATCCTCTATTTTGGACCCTTTTGGCTGCTCTAGATGCATGTTTAACTTGTTTCCTAAATCATGTTATTCTTCTGGTCAGTTCTGCTAATTATGTAAAAATTATTGCATCGATTCTACTGATTCAACCTCCATTATGTAACGGTGTTTCTTGCAGATAATGAGAGATTGATGACGGAGATGTCTGAGAGAGCTCTCAAAACTGCGAAGCCAAATGCATCTATTGAAATTGCTAGACACCTTCTTTCTCTTGTAAACTCTTCGATGAAATTCTGAATCATGCTTGCATTTTTACATTCAAAGATTAAAATCTTAGCTGCGAACTTCATTTGGGATATTTATTAATTTGTCCCCCTCCTTGCTTATCAATCACAACTACACTCTTATAAGAAAAATCTCAATTATTTTTGTATACAAATTAGATATTTTACTGAACATGAATGGACATAATTTTTTAGAATATGACACCAGTTCTGGATTTGCAATTTTGTATCTATGTCCTCCACTTAATTTCTAATTGGACAGCGTTTCTTACACTAGTGAGAAGATTTTTGTGTTGGTGATTGATGTTACTCCATTGCCTCTCTTTTTCATTCACTAATTCGATAAGAATTCAAATATTTGTGTACGCCATAAGCCACTTTTCTCTTTCACGCATCATCTACGATAGCTATTTCTTAATCACAAACAAATAAAAAATCCATTATATAATTCATTGATCGTATTTTTTTAATTCAAAGTTATCTCAAATTATTCAAAATGAAAAGTACTAAAAAAATTCTATATTTTCTACTGATTTATTAAAAAAACTAATATGATTAAAAAAGTTCAACCGGACACGTAACATATGTTGCATGCATATAATACCCCTCGTTGAAAATTGAAAGCAACAATAAATGAAGGCAATGAAAGGAAACTTGGTATTTGGAAATTCAGAACTTAGGTATTAATGATTATACTGTTTAATTCCAATTAAAATGATTGCGTTTCCTCAATCGGATCTCCGTTGGGCGATTCATTCGGCGGCTGCACTTCTTTCTTTCTCCGCCGCCGGTAGTCCGCCGCAGCGGCTGAGACGACTCTGCATCAGTGCTAGCGCCGGTGATGGTAGAACGACCCCTAAGCCCTCTGTTTGTACGGCAGATGAGCTTCATTACGTTCCCCTTCCCAACAATGAATGGAATCTCGCCCTATGGCGCTACTTGCCTTCATCGCAGGTTCTCTACATTGGAATCAAACACACACACACACACTCTCTCTCTCTCTCTCTCCCTCCCTGTATATAGAAATTCAGAAAAGAAATTATGCATATATAATTATGAAAATGTGTGTGCAGCGGAGCCGCAGGAATCATCCTCTGTTATTATTGTCCGGAGTGGGCACTAATGCCATTGGCTATGATCTTGCTCCTGGTGTAAGTCTCTGTTTTTTCTTCCTTTCCATCCAGCTATCAACATGCCTCTTGCTGATTGAGTTCGTATATATATTGGTTTTAGTCTTCTTAAGCCTTAATTGTAATTTGTATTATCATAAGAATTTATGTAGAAGTTATTGGTTCATAACAGCCAATAGACGATTGGAGGCCTGATGTTTCCAATGTTATTGTTAATTATTGGGCAAGCAAAGGTTGTAGATTCATCTAAGTTGTTTTAGTTCTTGTGGTGCAGTTCAAGCTTTGAACATATTCAAATCCTCAGTCTTTTGAACCAACTTCCAGACGTGTTTCTTCAATAAGCACCATGTAATGAAGTTGGTCTAACATATTTAAATCTTTTGATTGGGTAGAGTAATCGTAGAATATTACCTTGCTACTATAATTTTGGCTTTAACCTATCCACTTAACGAAATATGCTAACTTCCACCTCTTGTAGTCTTGGTTTCTCTAGGACATCCTTATAACATCATTTCTCAATTGGTGTCTCAAATTAGTGCAGAAGACCTTAAAGGTGGCACCACTGTTCTTTTACATTGAATAATGTGATGGATGTTCCATGATTAACATCTACTTATTTAAATGTCTAACAGCTGTGTGAAAATTAACATACCATCTATGATTGTGGAGATAGTTTCGCACACTTGATTATTGTATATAAACACAATATTGTACACTTTGTGCCTGTCTAATTGCAAAATGCATTAACCTTGAGGGTGCGATGGTTTGTCTCCGTTGGCTTTCTTAGATTGATCTTACCGCTTTCATCTATCTGTATTTCAAGATACAAGCAAAAAATATCTGTGTGAACGAATTTGTTCATTGAAAAACTTTTTTCTGATTTTCCTCTGGTCTGTCTTTGACTTTTAGATAGACAACAGTTAACTTTCAATCAAGAATTTTGGTTACTCTGCAGTCATCTTTTGCACGACATATGTCTGGGCAAGGATTTGATACTTGGATTCTTGAAGTTCGAGGAGCAGGCTTGAGTGCAAAAAATAGTCTAAAGGATCCTCGCCAAGGTACTACAGATTCAAATGGTTTAACTGTGACTCATGAGGCAAATAATGTTTCTATCAATGGGCATACTGTCCAATCTGATGACTTGCAAATTTTGACAAATTTGGCAGGAAAATTTGAGGGTATATCTGAAGAGCAACTTAGCTCAACTGATGAAGGTCAGTAACAATGGATAACTTATTGCTTAGCATACAAAATCAATCAGGAAGAAATGGTGAAACTGTAAAACCCTTTTGAAAAGGAGAATGCATGGTCATCACATTCATATTTGGATAAAAAAATTCAGGTTTACGAGATGCAGCACAAGTTTCTTCCATCACTAGCCAACTAAGGGACTTCTGTAACAGACTTGGAGAGATTATTGATGAAAGTCAACAACCAATCACTCAGTTTACTGGTTTGCAAAACCGCTTTTCTATTACACTGGGAGATTTCTGGAAACAGCTTCATCTGATTGGGAAGTATAACTGGGACTTCGATCATTACTTGGAAGAAGATGTGCCTATAGCGGTGAGGTGACATCTCGTGGCATAGTTTTTGAACAGATTGTCCTTTATCTCCTGGTGGATCATATTGTAGGAGCTTTCCTAAGATTATCATATTTATGCACTCGATGTGCATTAGTTAGCCTTTGTGTTTTTTCTTATGTAGATGGACTACATAAGGAACCAAAGCAGACCAAAGGATGGAAAGTTGCTTGCTATTGGACATTCCATGGGAGGTATCTTGCTGTATGCAATGCTCTCACAAGATGGTATTACGCCTTCTCATCTATTACGACTTCTGTACTTCCTAGTCTTAATTATGGGAGAAAATGGTTGCCAAAGTTAGTCAAATAACCTTTGGATTAATTTCATAATGATTCCTACTAGGATTCATTTATTGTTAAAAACAAAAAAACTCCTCGAGAGTCAATATGACTAAATCTCATAGTTAAAGTCGGAGTAGATAAATTCATCTTCAAATTCAGATATTTAAAAACTGAACAAAAAGCACTATAAGTTGCACTTCTCCTCATATCTAAATGATGTTATTAGGTCAAAGCTCACTTTGTCTGCTTCTTGATAAGCGAAAAGTGCCACACATTTGGGGAAAGAGGGACTACATCTGTAATCTTTTTTTTTTTTAAACCGAGAAATCCGACTGGGGCCCGCCCCTCTACATCTGTAATCTTCATATAGTATACATATACATGTTTGTAAATGTGTATGGATTTACCAGGTTACAGAGGAAAGAACACTGAGTTGGCTTCAGTCATCACTTTGGGTTCATCACTGGACTACACTACTTCAAGGTCATCCATGAAAATGCTTATACCCTTCGTAAGTGAAATGAAACACTTCACAGACTGCACTTTACGGTTTCATAAAGCCTGTACCTATTTTTTTATCTCTGATGTGGTGAGAAGAGGATTTTAATTGTTAGTGGATGCACAGGTAGATCCTGCAAAAGCTGTAAATCTTCCAGTTGTTCCAGTCGGAGCATTACTCACAGCCATCTATCCTCTTGCATCCTATCCTCCGTATCTCTTATCATGGTTAAATCCTCAGATATCTGCACAAAATATGATGCATCCAGAATTGTTTGAGAGGCTTGTCTTGAAAAACTTTTGTAAGTATGAGCTGGTTTTCTTAGTAAAAGATCGTAGTCATCACTGAAAAGAGATGCAAAACATGATTGACTTGTAGGCTGTGTTCGATATGATGGAAAATGTTTTCCGTGGAAAAGAAGTGGGTTTCTTACTTATTTTCTTGTGCTTGATACACAAGAAAAATATGTTATCCTAAAAGCATTTGTATATAATCTAGACAAATACTAAAGGAGGAGAAGTTAGAGGGTAGTAGGTGTGGGGTGGTGGGATGGAGCTACAGGGGGTGGGAATGAAGATGAGGTGTATTGTAGGTGGGGAGGACGCTATCAATGTGGAATGTCACTTGTTTTCCATACTTGCATTAGGGAAGTCATTTTACTCAACTTTTAGAAACTTATTTTCCTAGAGAACATGTTTTTCAACAATTTTGATCAACCGAACATGAGAAAATTGGAAATTCCTCCGTACCGAACACACCCATAATGTTTTCTTTTTACGGTTACCTTATTGCTTCTTGCTTTTATGGTTAGTTGCATCCTGATAGTAAACGTCTTAAAGAGAATTGATATAATTGGTTCCACCTCAGATGAATTGTTGACTTGATGGAAGGGGATAACAAGTGCATGAAATCCTAAACAAGATTGGTATCATCATATGGCATTACACTAGAACAGCAATATCCAATAGGCAGTCATTTTTACACACAGTTCAAACTAATATAGGAGAATTTTCCTGAGAGAGATGTTATTATACGAGAAATCTTATTTAATTTACTTAGATATCCACGGTTGTCGATTATCATGTCATTGCACAATTGAATCTAACCTTTTGCTTCTCCAATATTGGGTCTCATCGCATGTTTAATATCTGAGGGCGTTACCACAGTTGAACTCAGATAGTTTGTAAAGTTCTCTTTTTGTTACTCTGTATTGTACTCCCATTCAAACTTTTAACAACCTTTATCTTGGAAATACTCACATTTATTGTGGGAAAAATGACTTTGTAGTTTTTATTTCTGAAATTCCTTTAGTTTCTCAAGCAAACTCTGTCAAGTAGATCCCTGACCAAGCAGTATTAGATGAATAAATTGTGTCTTTGTCATATTGTGTTGCATCAACTGTCTTTGAGATCATTAGACCACTGCTAACATGATACTTTGCACACCTAACTTCTCTCTCAAAGCCTTCAATAGATTAAAATATTGCATCCCCCAAACTCCCAACACTCGCCACTTAAAAAGAAAATAAGAAAAACTTTTGAGTGCTTTTACTGCTTTTATTCATGGAGTATCACATGGCCACATTTTATGCAGGCACTATTCCTGCTAAACTTCTGTCACAGCTATCAACAGCCTTCGGAAAGGGTGGACTACGGAATAGAAGTGGGACTTTCTTTTACAAGGACCATCTTCACAAAACCAATGTACCTGTTTTAGCTCTCGCAGGAGACAAAGACCTTATTTGTCCTCCTGAAGCTGTGTATGGTAGAATATCAATTTGTGATTTGTTATCATGCTTACTCACATATTTACCTTCTTCCAATCATTTCTTTAATTAGCTGACTGGTAACTTTTTACTGTCATGTTCATGTACTAGAAACTGTCAAGCTGATTCCTGAGAACTTGGCTACTTATAAAGTTTTTGGTGAACCTCGAGGTCCACACTATGCCCATTATGATCTAGTCGGTGGACGAATGGTATGTGATATTGAAATAGTCATTTCAAAAAAGTTGCCACCCCACTAGTACAAGTTAGTTATAAATATGATGCAATGTAAATGCAGGCATACTATCAAGTATATCCACGTATAATTGAATTCCTCAGTCGACATGATATCTGTTGATCTACACCGGAGTATAGCATCCTCTGCATCCAGTTCCATGTGACTTGACCACCTCTACCACAGTGCAAGTGTCATGCGACAGTGGGAGAAGCTGAACCGTTAGTTCTACACCCAGTGTGTGGGATCATGAGATGGATGTAAAAGGCCAGGAGACCATGCAAACCATCTTAGTAGGAAGTATACGTCCATTGAGTTTCAAAGATGAGTAATTATGAACCATTGTGGGCAAGAGCGGAGGAGCTACAATACTAGGTATGGGTTCGGACGTATTCATCAGCTTTACCCTGTATTTATATTAATATAATTCATTAAATGTGTATAAATATTTAATTGTGAACCCTCTGCCATTAAATGGTTGGTAAGAAATGTGTAGTTGTGAAGCATCAGAAGTTCAATTCACTCGTAAAACAGTTGTATTGAGGGCCATTGAGGATTTTTTGTTTTGGTGGTATAGGTTATGGAGGAGTTTGCCTGTATTTGTTTAAATCTTTTTCTCATTTGATTTGACATCCTGCCTACTTCTATTCCTCAATATTGATCAGAGATTGAAGGAATCAAGGTCTATTTATTGGATTGTAGTGACCCACTTGGAAAGCTATTGGCACTAAAAATGATAAGAAGGTCCACTCTTTAAATGTTAACATATGATGGTGTCAAGTTTTAAAGTGTTTTGACCAAAATACCCGTCTCTATAAAGATACATATACCAGGTGCAGCACTTGTCAATTTGAACCTAACATCTATTCTAGTAGGGCCAGTAGTGTACACGAGAAAAACTAGTAGAAAATAGAAAATTTAAGTTAAGAGGATAAAAGGTTAGGGAAGAGTAGATGAAGTTTTGGCCTTTTATGGATATGGAGTAGTGGACCGTACTTCTTTCTTTCGTGATATTTTTTCGATCATATTAATATGAGAAGAACTGTTCTTTATTTCTATGTATTTACTTTCACTGTTTTTCTATGCAACACTGGAGCCGAAGTCTTCCAAAAATAACCTTTCTACTTCATCAAGGTAAGGGAAAAGACTGGGTATATTATTGTTGTAATATGAGAAAGACTACAATTAATAATATTTTTCGAATCTGAAAATTTATATTACCTCTTAAACTAGATCTTGTGAAATATGTATGTAATATACCAAAATATGTGACATCACCCAAAAAATTTCCCTCCAGTAACAAATTTAGGGGTTAGTGTGCAAATATAAACAAAGGAACTAAACTGGCAGGAGAAAAAAAAGAGGCAAATTATAGTATGAAGCACGAAATCAACCTTGACATAGAATGGCAGAAACTTATCTTGCAATACATATAAAATTTGTACCATTCAATCACTGTACTCAAACCAGAAGCCTAATACTTTGTGTACCACTCGTTTCAATCCATCCACATAGGATTGCCACTCAAACAACAGAACCATCACTTTCAGATAGAAACACCCTGCAAAGAATTTTCTTGTTTGTAATGATAACAGAAGAAGCTATACAAAAGACCAACAGGTTCATGAGGGGTGGAATTGTTTTTTGATGTCTAGCTATTAGACATAGCTGCAGATTTACAAACTGGGCAACTATTTTTTTGACTCAGCCACTGCTTTATGCAACGAATGTGATAGAAATGTCCACAATCCAGTTTCCCCATCTCATCCTCAGCCTCATATTCCTCCTGTATTCAGAAAGGTACAATGTGTCAACTGTTAGAACCAAAAAATGTTTTCAAGTAACAAAAATGATGTCTAACAGATTATTAGAAATAAACCTGACAGATGGTGCACTGCCTTTCCAATTCTGTGCGGATAAGAGATAAATTACTCAAAAAGAAGGGCTTGGTTCTTCTAACACATCGAGCTATCTCGTCTTCTCTCAATCCTGTGTTGACATATCCAATTTTGTCACCAAGTTCCAGCAATTCCTGTTTGTTTCAAGGGTGGTCGTTAATTATGAGAATATGAAATAGAAACAAGGATGTCTAGATTGACAAGGGAATGACTTACCTCGTAGGACATGTTATCCACATCTAGTCTCCAGTTCCGGTATCGATCAAGACCATCTGTTCTTCCTCCCATAAGGCTATTTTGAAGCATCACAATCTGCAATCACACCCCAAAAAGATCATGTATATTATGTCCTTAAATTTGGTTCCCGTTGTTCCATGGCAGCCGCCACTATTCAGGAGATAACAGTGATGAAATATGGCAAACAATTACCAGATTTTCGGAATCTTTAATGAAACTAGTTAGACAGAAATCAAATTAAGTAATTCGATGATTTCTATAAGAACAAAGGCATATTGATTCTAAACACTTTTAAATTATGCCAACGTCGAACTTTGACAGCATTGAGTCAATGATGCTCAAGAGTATCAACTACGTCATGTGATTTGAGGTGCTTGAGCAATTCCTTGGACTAAGCATGACCTCTCATTTAATTTTATTTGGCACTCAAAACTAAGTGGTACGATCACAAGAAACTGTTGTATCTTCCTAGCTAACCAACATAAATAAGTCAATAAACAATATGCTGGGTATCTTCCTAGTAAACCAACATAAATAAGTCAATAAGATCTGCTGGGGCCATCTTCCTATCTAACCAGACATATTTGAAACACTAAGGCAAAAATGATAAGCAGGATGTATCAGCATGTAATACTGCCCAAGTTGCTGTTTTCCAGTAATAAACTGGACAAAAACTTGTTCAAAGATATTCTCAAAACCATTGACATGACAGACAATGTGGTATCATGGGCTAGATGCTTGTGATCACCAGAGAACTTACTTTTACTTGGACAGTCACATAGGAACGACAATTTCACAATTCACATGATAAACGGCAGCGAAGCAGCAAGAGATAACTAATCTATTTGGCAGTAAAGTATGTATATACTATATACTCACCTCTGCAAGTCCTTCTGAATAACCATGGCGAGAATGTCGATGATGCCTAGATGCAAATAACTCTATTTGGGAGCGTGGTATACCAAGGCTACTTTCTATATCCAGAAAAGGGTTGTCTTCTGGGCTCACCATTCTTCGTATAGGACATGCAGATCGCTGCACAGAAAGGAAAGGAAACAACTGTTAGATTTCTAGAATTAACTTGCATGTGAACCTTGCAATCAGCTTTATCAAGAATAAAATGTAAATCATGTACATTCACCTACAGATCTATTTGACTGAGGTTACAACTTAAAATATTCATACGGTAGATTCAAAAGTGATAATGGTGAGAAAATGAAGTAAACAAGGACAAGAGCGAGATAAACAAGCAGAACCAACAATGAGACATGGAGTGGAAGGATCACCAAGCAAGACTTTTTTTATTTGTAGAATGACCAAGTCTGACTTACCAAATAACTTTGATAATCAACAACTTCAATTCTTTGAGAGAAAGATGTAGTATGCAAGACATATCCGCAAATGACAAACCTAAAGAGCGTAAGGTAAGATAGATGACATCCTAATTCATTGAGGGCACCTTCCCCACTCTTTGTCATCAGCTATCTACTAAGCTCTAATGGATTATTTAGAGGACAATATTACTATTGAAACTTTACTTCAGGCTGAAAAGCAACAAGCCACTGAGAAGCCCAAGGCAGATCCAATAAGCTTAAAACTCAAAATGTATTTGTGACATATGAAACCAAGATTAACAAGTAAATTCAAATAGTTAGCTAAATGAAACAGAATTGGGTACAAACAAACAACAAACTTGGCATAGCAATTCAAATGCTTAAGAAAACAGAAAGTAAATAGTACCTCTCTAGGCGTAGCTTTGTCACTTTCAATTCTTCCCCTCCCAGACACGGGTCTTCTTGAAACAACGCAATCAACAGAAGCAGCATCAGTAGTTAATCCAATTCCAGGACCACACCAAACGTCAGGAACCGCCACACAGCTCGACGATAATGATAACGGTGCTGATGAAGACGACGACGATGAAGGGTTATTATTCTGGAGTGAGTTACTGCAGCCAATGGATACTCCTCCACCAACATTAACAGCAGAAGTAAGGGATTTGTTCTTGTTGCTGTTCTGCTTTTTCTTCTTGACTCTTTTGGGATCCCAGTCAGCCGAAGTCCTAATCACAGCAGGAACCGACACTTGCGGTGATGCTGTACAACCCAGTCCCCTAAATGTAGCAAAGTTCTTCTTTTTAGTGGAAAAAACTGTAGAGGCAGTGGGGGTAGTTGAGTTTTCATGGGTAGGACTTGTAGGCGAAAATGGTGCTAGAAGTAGAGATGAAATGGTGGGTTTAGTGGAGCGAGAAGAAGAAGAAGAAGAAATTGGATCCATATCTTGGGTTTCTTGTTGGTTTTGTGTTCTGGGTTTTCTGTATCTAATCTGTTCTGAAACTGTGGAGCTTTCTGAAAACACCACAGGCATAGTTGCTCTGCACAGTAAAGATGAAAGAAGACAACAATGGAGAATTCAAGATTTGGGTTTGTAAAGAAAGTTGATGTTGATTTTTGTAGAGAGAGAACCACTAAAGAGAAGATATTGAAGATAAAAAGGGTGAAATTGAGAGGGAGAGAATAAGGGGGTGTCAGAGCAAGAGAAGAAACATTTTAAGAAGAAGGAGAGAAACACAAGAATGATGAAGTGAGAGGTGAGGAAAAAACTGAAAAAGAATATACTCTACAGTCTACTCCACTCCCCCGTTAGAGTCCGATTATTTTAAATTTCTGTTATATACTCTTTCGGGTGGGATTATTTTGGATTCATGCTATATATGATCTCATTCGGAGAAATGCTCTTTTTAAAAAAATTCATACGTACTGGATTGAATCTAACATTTTTTATCAAAAAAGGAACAATTCATTCACTGCACCACATCATTTGATAGACTAAGTTATTTATAAATTGATTTAGTATCTATGTGGATTTTAATAAATCATCAACGTTCATTTAATTAAAACCTTACCTATATCATCTTATAATTTTATCAAATGAATTAAGTATTCTAAACTCCGAAAACTAATGTTTAAAGGAATTAGGATCGAATTAGGTTCTATTTACAATATATTAAGAGCATTATTAACCTTTTCTCATTTAGAATATCATTCTATGAAAAAGAACTCTTTAAAAATATGTAATTACAATCATATAATATGGAAGTAGATAACTTAATTCATTGCTAAGATTCTATCTTATCTGATTGTTTGCTAATCTTTACTTTAATACAAAAAGAATTGTAATGACAATTCATTTGTATTACTACCACAAACATGAAATGCTACTGTGCTAGATGCCAATTTATATTTGTTAGTGTTTTCTGAGGGAAAAGGTGAACCAGAAAATAAAGTGGGGTTTAAGGGGGTGGGGAGGGGGGGGGGGATATGGAAAAGATGGGTGGAGGAATTTTAGCAAAATAATGTATATAATTATAATATTCCTAATTTCCTATTATCCACCTTTTTTAGTCTCTTTTGCCTTTCTTAGAAATTGAGCATAGTGGAATTACGGCAAAAACTTGATTAACTTTAATTACAC